ACACTCCATGGGAGGACCATCTACAAGCCATGGAAGGCCAAGAAACAGCCTGGGCTACAGACACTGTCGTGCCCAGGGTCTTCCCAAGGCCAACAGCAATTGGGAGCTAGACTGCTGGCTCTGTTGTTAGTCGCCACCCAGTGCACCCCCACCCTGGATTCAGATTTACAGTCCCCTAAACTGGGAGGCAACAGATCCCTTTTCTCTCAGGCATAGCAACACTAGGTAACTAGACCAGTGGGAGTCTGGTCAACCTGCTGAAAGTGGCGTGCAGAAGGGAGACAGGTGCTCAGAAAGAGGATAAAGAGGTTTGAAACCCAGCAGTTTCCCCCTCTGTACCATTGAGGGCTGGCCATAAAGGGGTCAGCGGTCTCATCACATGGGGGATGAGTTAGCCAAGAGTGTTATGAAGGACTTAACCCTGCTTCTCCCCGCCTCACTAGTGACCCTGCCCTCTGGGCTCCAAAGCCCCCCCTTCTCACCACCGCCCCCTTTCTCAGGGAAAAGAACTCACCTACAGTGGCCGCCATGCCTGGGGCAAAGCGGTTCTCACAGAACCTCCGCAGGAACGATGTCTTGCCCACGCTGGAGTTGCCCACAAGCACAATCTTGAAGAGCCGGTCTGGGCTAGAGGGAGAACTTTCCTCCTGTGGATGGCAGAGAGACAGCCCCTATACATCAGACTCGCAGGAGCCAGGCCCCACTGGCATCCAGAGAATTCGGGCCCGGCTTCCAGACCTGCCCCAGGGAAAATGTTCCAGTCTCTGAAGATGGGTGACATTGGACTTGGAGCTTGGAGGCTCCATTAAGCATCACCAGGAAAAAGGGAGGAGGATCCATTTGACCTGCATCTATTGCCTGCCTCCCGGGGTTATAAAGACCACTGGTTGCATCGTGAGTTGTACGTTGGGTTGCCAAGCACAAGGTCAGCAGTTTGAAACCACCAGTCACTCCTTGGGAGAAAAATGTGTCTTTCCACTCCTGTGAAGAGTGATCGTGTCGGAAACCCATAGGAGCGCTTCTACCCTTGCCTACAGGGTCACTGAGAGTCAGCATCGACTGATGAGAGTGAGTTGGGTCTTTCGCTTTGCTGTGATGCAGGTCCTGGGCTGGACCAGGCGCCACCGCGAGGAGGAGGCAGGCCTGTAACCAAGTGCCTCTGCTGGTGGAGTAGGTGACACACTCTTTCTTCTAACTGAAAGATCGGTGGTTCAAACCCAACAGCCGCACCTGGGGAGAGAGAGGAAGCTTTCTACTCCCGTAAAGAGTTAACTGCACTTTCAGAAACCCACGGGGATGGGGTTCTATTCCGTCCTACAGGGTCACGATGAGTCAGAATCAGCTCGACGGCAGTGAGTTTCTTTTGTATCAAGGTTGAGGGCAGAGACAGCCAGGCTGGGACAGGGGCCTCTGATTCCTGCCCCATTGGTGCAGGATGACTTCCCTGCCTGCATACTGCTCCTGTCTCCTCTCACCTGCTCTCACTTAGCCCCTCGATACCAGGCCCCTGAGCCCGCTTTTCTAGGGGAAATGGGTCACTTCTTGCTGCAGCTTCTCCTCCACCTGGGAGTGGGGGTGGGGGCCGAGAGTGTGGGTCATGCTGAGGCCCAGAAAGGGAAGGTACCAGGTCGAGGATGTCCAGCAATGGAGCAGCAGAGAAGAAGCCTGGCTTCCACCCAGGGTCTTTTGGTTAGACTGAACATTCTTTTCCCCCGAGAACTGCTGGCTGGCTCTAATCCTGCCTGCAGGCCCAGCCCAGCGCTGCCTGGACAAATGCGGGAGCTCTTTCTCATCTATTTAAAAGTGGATTTGTAGGAATTAGTTCTTCTCATTGAGCAAATACTATAATAGAGTGGCAGCCAACATGAGCCCTACTTGAGGCTCAGAGAAAAGCCATGAACGGCCTTTGGGGGAGGAATCAGTTCCATGCAGTTTTTATGAGGGAACCCAAGGCCAACTCTAGGAATTTAGAGTAAACATAAGACTGCAACAAAACACCCCCCAAACGGATGGCTTTGCTCACCTCACCAATCATGCAACACCCGAAGCAGGGACTGTGGGCCTCCAATTGTCAGCTGAGTCTAAAACTCGGTGCCCCACCCACTGGTCTCAGAGACTTGTGTGAGGTGGCAGGTGTGGACCCCAGTGTGGGACCGGATGGCCCTTACGATGCTCAAGCGTAAGGTCCCTTTTTTGGCCCAAAGGTACTAGGTGGGGTTTTTTTCTTTTTCAGGCACAAAGGATAAATACAGTTGTGGTTCTGCTTTGGTTGATCATGCGGCAGGCCCACTGTCCCCTCTGAGCACAGCCCACCTACCACCTGCTTAGCAAACCTCTTGGCTGGGAAGTCAGGAGATCTCCTCCTCCCTCCCTAACCCTCTTTAATGAGTCTTCAAACACTTGTATTCAGAAGTAATGATGCTAATTTAAAGAGTTAGGAAATGCAAAAGTACAAAGGAAAATAAAATTTATATAGAATCTATCCTAAAACCGTAGCATTTTCATTCATATATATATACAATTTTCCAACATATATAATATATATATTTATATATACGAAAAATGCTGTATATATAGCATTTATATATATGAAGCATTTAAGAAGGAAAATTATATATATATGTGGCATATTTCTTCACACACATATGTATTGGACTGCTAACAATAAGGTCTGTAATTCAAATGCAACAACCGCCCCACAGGAGGAAAGCGAGGCTGCTTGCTCCCACAAAGCTTTCATTTCAGAACCCCTATGTAGACAGGGTCGAAAATCTACTCAATGGCAGTGGGTTTGGGTAGATAGCTATATCTAAATCTATCGATCGATCTAAGGAGTCTTGTGACTGGCACTGCCGTGTAAGCTGTGGATGGCTAACTACAAGGTTGTTGGTTCAAACTCACCAGCTGCTTTGCAAGAGAAAGAGGAGGCTGTCTGCTCCCATAAAGATTTACAGCCCTGGAAACCCTAAAGGGGTGGCTGTAAGTGGAAACTGACTTGAAGGCAGCAAGTTTGGTTTTGAGAGCTATAGCTATCGATGTAGATAGAGATATAGAGATATAGAGATAGACCCCCACAAAAAAACCAACACCCTCACTGCCACTGAGTGATGCCGACCCCTAGTGGCCCTGTAGGACAGGGCAGAGCTGCTCCTGAGGCTTTCCCAGTGAGATAGTTTATTGTGCCAGCCTGGCTGATAAACGCAGGTGGGATTGACTGAGGGGCGGA